CAACTAGTAAATTGTGTCAAATACCTACCTCCCTCCCCAAGTACTTACTTACCTCCTCTGAGGTAAGCTGTTGGTGGCTATCAGAGGAGGCAAACAATGGCCTGCAAAGGGAAGGGGGCTGAACACAGTTTACTGTATTCATTGGTCTAGGAAAGGTGGGCTGGTGGAATCTTATAAAATTTGTAAACTTGGACTTTAATTTCAACATCAGCCTTGGTCACTTTACTGTGAGCACAAATGAAAAGTAGACATTAAAGTGGACCTTTACACTTTCACTAAAAATAACATCAACCTGCAGCTCTGCATGCTGATTTAAAAATCATCTTACATTCATTAAACAAACAAACATATTTTCGTTTTACGTACAATTTCTTATTTTCTACTTACTGATTCTCTTTGGCACAAATTATGTAATAATGCATTGCTGGGAAATCTCATCTGTAATCTCATCTGTAACATGCAGTGATTTCAGCTAAGGATGTGGAATCATTCAAGAAGCTCTTGGATGATTTCCTTAGAGACCATAACATACAGGGGTACAGGTACTCCTAAGAACAAGATCACACATGGACTCATACACACGCACACACCAGCAGAACCATATGCATACACGCAGTAGGTTGGACTTGATGGACTTACTATGGTCTTTATTCAACCTCAAATACTATGTAACTATGTAATCTCAGATCTCAGGGAAAGACATTTTCCTCCCCTGAGATGATGTGCATGATCACGTCCTACTCACAAATGCCAGAGTTTCAGGAAGTAAAGCAAGATGGATTCATATGCCCTTAGTAAACATGGCCACTGTGAGAAGAATGGAGTAGAAAAGAAAAATAAGGTATGCAAAGAATAAGAAGCCTGCAGTTATCAATATATTAAGCATGTGTTTGTAGATTGCCTATACTAAACATTTCTAAAGGCGTATTTGTTGTTTTGAAGATAAGGATAAAGTTCATCTTTAAGGGGTCTGTACATTTACTAAAATATCTTGCAGAGTGTCTCAGGAGCCCCAAGTCTGCTCTATTATGCAAATGACTTTAGCTCCTGTGTCTCACTATTGGTCTTTCAGTCTTTCAGTCCATCCATCACAGTGATGGGACACAAGTGGGGTATGGGAGTGGTGGTATAAAAGTTAACTTTATTCAAAATTTGCATAATGGAGCTTCAAGGATTTAGAAGTTCTCAGGGCACTTTACATGGCAGGTGACAGTATTTGTAGGCATAATTAGATAACCAGTATCTGTGTCTGCTGGTGGTTTACTATTTTAAATGGTTAATACATTTTAAATTAATTTTTTTTTAAATGAAATGTGTACAATTTTTTAGATTATTATCTTCAAAGTAGGCTACATCCAATAGATTGTCCACTTAGTAGAAACAAGAATGTCATAATCTCTGTGATGCTTAGAGTTTAACTTGAAGTTGCAGCTAATATCTGTAATTAAATAATACAATGAATGAGTCTCTATGTGTTCCCATACAGTATACAAATTAGAAAAAAATAATGGAAATCCTTAAAACTCACCAATTTAGCTCTATTCGTACATGAGCTACAATAGTTTTGGAACCTACAGACTTATGTGATAAGATAAGTACGATGATAAGAGAAATGTTAAAGTGCAAAAGGCAAGGGGGCGTGGCCGGGATGGGAAAGGGACAAGCCACGTGTGTGAGAGGATTTCTGAATTACAGGGACAGAGACTCTGTGCTGGCTGCGGCCCGGAACTCTCCTGCTTTGCATCATGAGAACACTGTGATCCGTTTATTCCCGGATTTTTCAGCGCATGTGCAGAAGCGCACACGTTCTTTCCAAGATGTCAGACGCCGCCTCAGGATTAAAGGTTTACAATACAGTATGATTTTCCCCAGTAAGCTGAGGGTTCAACATGAAGGAACTGTACAGTTTTTTGACAATCCAGCTGCGGCCGCGAACTGGATAGACAGACTGTGCTAGGGAAGTGCTGTTGGCATCCTTTCAAGACTGCACTCTTTACTGGAAGCCATTGAGAGTACCTGACTAACTTTGACTGCAGCCTTTTGCTGTTAGCCTTACTTTCTGAGATTGGAGGAGGATGGGTGTACGGTCACCATGTGCCTTAATTTAGTATATACTGAATCCTGGTCTTACAGTTACATTTCTGTCTCATTGTTGGGGTTATACCTCATTGGTTTACTCCTGCTGCTCAAAAGTCTGTATTACTCTACAATGGGTCCCCCTATGCACTTTTGGTAAGGTGTGGGAAAAACCGGAGGCACCTCACGTGGGGGTGAATACTAGCTAACGACAGTGTCTGTTATTGCACGGACATAGGAAGGCAGTGATAGATTGTTGGGGTGACGGCCCCCCTCGGGTGCTGTCTTTGAACTTAGTTAGGGATCAAGCTTCTCTGGGTTATGTTGGGGATTTTGGTTTGCCAAAGAAAGCAGGGTGGGCTTGGGTGGGAAGGGGATTTTTGTAATTTTGAGCTGTGTGATTCCTGCATACATATGTGGTTCATTTCGGGCATCTTGAGCTGGTTGATGGTTAAAAGAGATCTCTGGGCTCTAGGCTTCTTGGGCCTCCGAGAGGTGAAATTGTTGTGAGTGGACACGGGATGGCAGGAACTCAAGTAAAAATTGTCTTGTGGAATGTGAGGGGTCTGAATCACAAGTTCAAGAGGTCTTTGATATTTCAATATTTAAAACCATACAGGCCACATATTATATTGTTACAGGAGACGCATCTGGAGGGGCAGAAGGGGCTGGCATTGCGGCGCCCCCGGATCCAGAGGGCCTTTCATGCTACTTAATCGGTGTATGCCCGGGGAGTATCAATACTTATAAGTAAATCCTTGCCATGTATGATTGAGCAGGTTTTTCTGGATCCGGGGGGCCGCTATGTTATTGTAGTTCTGGAAATACATACACGCAGGATTGCTATTGTTAGCATTTATTTGCCCCTCCTTTCCAGTTTCAGCTCCTGTATGAGGTTCTAGCTAAGGTGGCACCCTTTTTACCTATACCTAGAGTGTTTGCAGGAGATTTTAATGCTATTCTAGACCCAGAGCTAGATTCCTCAAATCCTAACAGTGCCCTGGGGCAGGAACTGGTGGGATGGGTGGAGGCTGCTTCCCTGCTAGAGGTTTGGAGATGGAAAAATCCTGGTGTTAGGGGGTACTCATGTGTGTCTTATATGCATAATTCCTCCTCCAGAATCGATATGGCCTTTGCAAATTACCTGTTCCTTGGGTTAGTGTCAGAGGCCGGCTACCTGCCTGGTGGAGTCTCCGACCACTCGCCTCTGTCTCTCATGCTCACCTTTTCCACGCAACTCCAGCGCCGGGGATGGAGGTTGTCACCAGGCTGGCTTGGGGAAGAGGGTGTGGTGAGCAGAGTGTCGTCCCTGGTGGGGGAGTATTGGGTCCATAATGAAGGGTCGGCAGAGGCCGCAATAGTCTGGGATGCATTTGAGGCATATCTTCGGGGAGAATATATCTCCCACATTAAAGTGTCTAGATGTGACTTTGCTAAGGAACGGGAGGAGTTGCAGAGGGTGGAGGAGGAGTGTGCACGTGTATATGCGGCTTCTCCTGGTGAAGATTCCCTGGGAACTCTCAGAGCAGCGAGAAGAGCCTTGCAGGTGCACCTTAAGACTCTGACGGGCTGTTCTCTCCACGAGATTTGAGCAAGGGGACAAGAATGGCAAATGGCTGGCTCTGTTGGTGGCGGACCATCATCCCTTAGCAAATATTCCGTGTATAATGGCATCACTGGGGGAGCGGGTGAAAGATCCGGTGGCGATTAAGGAGGAATTTACACAGTACTATAGTGCGCTATACGCTCCCGTTGCACTTTATGGCGGGGAAGCCCTTTGCTCCCTACTGGGGGAGCTGGGCTTCCTTGTCTCGGACAACTTGATAGAGAATCCTTGGAGGAGGAGATCTCGGTCCGGGAGATAGAGAGGTCGATTGGTTCCTTCCCTGCTGGTAAAGCCCCGGGACCGGATGGCCTTCCAGCGGAATGGTACAGGTATTATTTACCTTAGATGGCCCCTCGTTTGCAAGGACTGTATAGTTTTTGTTTGGCACGGGGGAGATTACCGGACTCCTTGTATGAGGCGAACGTTGTCCTTATACCTAAATCGAGGAAGGACCCACTATTTTGCTCCTCCTACAGCCCGATATCTCTTCTGAAAATGGATTTGAAAATTTTGACCAAGATTCTTGCGATGCGCCTAGGAGGGGTTATCTCCACCCTAGAATTTATCCCGGGGAAATCCACTGATACAAATCTGTGCAGGGTCTTCACAAATCTCCAACTCACCCATGCTAATGTTGGGTTTAGGGCACTGGTCTCCTTAGATATTGAGAAGGCCTTTGATTCAGTGGATTGGGGTTACATGGGTGCTGTCCTGTGGCATATGGGATTTGGCCCTAACTTTTGTAGATGGATTGCAGTTTTGTATAATGAACCTAGAGCCGCTCTGAAGATAGGCCCTGCTCTATCGGAAAGTTTCCCGGTGGGAAGGGGTACCCGACAAGTGTGCCCCTTGTCACCGGGTCTGTTTGCATTAATGATGGAGCCCCTAGCTGTGGCTTTACACACATCCACGGATCTGGAGGGGTTCAAGGTGGGGTCTATTGAAGAGAGGCTCGCCTTATACGTGGACAATTTAATTTTATTTCTGGCGGACGCAGGCCCATCTCTTAGGGAGGCACTGCGAATCCTAGACAAATTCTTGGTGTTTTCTGGCTTGAGAGTTAACTGGGCCAAATCACATATCCTACCATTAGATGACGGCACCCTGGGTTCGGCGGATCCATCGGTCCCACTTCAGTGGGTCTCACAGATCACATATCTGGGAGTCAACATCACGGCTGGGGTGGGAGATTACTACCTCCTGAATCTAGCCCCGGTGCTCACCAAGGTTAAAAGGAGGTTGATAGTTTGGAAACACTTGCCAATTTCAATGATAGGTAAGGTTAATCTGCTTAAAATGAAGATTCTCCCGGTTTTGTTGTACTTTCTACGTAACTCCCCAGTTTGGGTGTCTGCAAATTTCTTGTGACTGGCCTGTTCCTGGACTTTGTGTTGGGCTCGCAGGTACCAAGACTCCGAATGTCTATCCTACAAGCGCCTTGGACAGGAGGGGGTCTAGCACTGCCTGATATGAGGAAATACTATTTGGCGGGACAAATGTGGGGGAGGACAGTGACTCTGCGGTGGTGTTGGAGGCGGCGAGTTTGGGCTCCTATGAGGCCTTGTCATCCCTGGTATATAGGGGATGTGGGGCCCCGTATGACCTCACACTCTCCATGCGGGCTACTGTTAAGGCATGGAGACAGGTGTTGGATACACTTGGTGGGGGAGCTAACTGTGTCCCCACACACTCCTCTGTGGAGAAATCCGAATCTTGCACAATTCTACACCATCCCTGATTGCCATGTCTGCGCCCGGAAGGGCATAAAAACATTGGAGGACATACTGACTGATGGAAATATTACGTGTTTTGAGGACCCGTGCATCAAATTTGAGCTGCCGGGCTCCTTTCTCATAAAGTTTCATAAAGTCTGGGGAAGTTGGTTGGATGCCTTCTCTGCTACAACAAGCTAGAGGCCAGTATGGACTGTGAGCATTATTGACTGTATGGTTGAGGGGGAGGGGAATTGAACATTGAGAGGATGTGCACTAATTGATTACTAGTGGACACTAGTGTATCTGGAGGTATCTGATGGTGGAGCTTCCACCTACACTGGGTACCTGATTGAGATTTCATAATACCCACACATTGGTGCTCTGAACAGCAATGATTTAGTTTGATCTGAGTTATTTTTAAATTTATGCAAAATGCACAGCTCTGGTTGAGAGGAGGGATGGGGGGTGGGGGAGGGGGGTTATATTGTTTGGAACAGTGTTGTAAGTTGTGCCCCAGAGTGTTGGAACTCATGAGATATCTGTTGTACTGATGTCCTGTGTGTCTTTATATGAAAATCTAATAAAAACAAATTTAAAAAAAAAAGTGCAAAAGGCAACAGCCCATAGTAACCAATCAAACACCATTTTTTTATGTTGTTCAACAACAATGATCTAAAATACAATTGGCTGCTCTGTGATAGTGCACATTGTATATTTACCTTCACTGTGATGCCAAATGTTTATGTTCTTTATGGCTGTTGCTAATCCTTTAACATATATACAGTACATTATATATTATATGATTTAAATAGAAAATAATTGCTATTTTATTTGCTGCCCCCTTCTCTTCCCCTAAAAATGTTCTATCTAAGTAGCAGGCTTTGTTGCTTTTCCACAAATCCAGGTCTGCTTTTGCAGCCTTTCAAAATAGGCTCAACAAATTTTACTATATAGACTGTAAATAGTTACATATAGTACTTACTTACTGACCTGTATTTATTCTTTTTTTAGTTTTTTCAGAAACAGGATATCCATTCTATTTTTTCAACATCTCATCTGTGAGAAGCAATGAGCGCATGTTAAAAGCTGAGCTCCGGGTGTTCAAGTGGAAGCCATTTGGATTGACAACCAAATATCATTTTTGTAGGGTAAGATAATAGAATAAGTTCAAATTGTGCACACCATCTAACATGGTTTATATTTACATAATTTCAATATAAATTAAATAGACTTTCAAACAAAAAGCTGAAAGGAGGTGTCACTTTTCCATTACTACTTCTGCTGGGACAGACTGTGTACACTCCTATTCTGGAAACTGCGCAAAGTTTCAGATGTTTTATGTTTGCTTTGTGGCTTGCAACTTATTGCAGTTTTTTTGAACGGCAGGTGATAGAGCAGCCAAACTGCATCAAGTAAATTTTTTGCTTCTGAACTGCTTGCACTGTAATCAGTTTAACTTGCAAGTGTCCTGTGCAGCATATTTAATCTGCAGTCTTGTCATAAACTACATCCAGTCAGCTTGACTCGTGCTCCTAATGGAATGTCACATTTTCTTAACTGGAAACACTATTTACTCCTCTGGAAAATACACAGAATTTTGTTAATGCATCTTTCAGCCATCTTGTGACAAAATTCTACTAACAGTATTTTAATTGTGCTTGTCAGTTTTAATGTTTAACTTTAATAGCCATTCCATGATCATTTTCATATGTTCTAGGTGGATGTGTATGAGCTGTTAGATAGTTCGTCAAGACCTTGGAGAGGAAATCTAATCTCGTCTCGACTTCTTCCTCTGCATTCACAAGGCTGGGAGGTGTTTAATGTCACTCAGACAGTAAGTATCATTAATATCAATATATAACAAACTGTTTAAATACTTACCAAAGCCAAATCTTTTTAAAATCTTTTTTAACCATGTGCACAACATTAGAGAAGTTCTGTGTTGGTACTGGATGCTTTTTCATGTTATTGTTGATATTCATTTAAGTAAATAAAATGGTTTTGGGTCACTTTTTTGTATATGCAGTGTCAGAGTATTATGGGTTTTCTGTTTGCTATTATAGTATCCCACCTGTAACTCTGAACTCAGGACCTGGAAAAGCCAAGCAAGGTATTGAAAATGGAATTAGTCACTTCTCTGAATCATTTAGCTGTATGTCTAGATTGAAGCCTAAAGTGTTCACCCCATTCCTTTAAGTTGAATCCTCCCCACCCAAATACTTAACTTCAGCTCCGCTCCAAAGATTTTCACTGCGTGGCCCTGTCGGGCACCAAACCGCTTCTGTAGTGAGAATTACAAATTCGACTGCACATCTGCTCACCACTATTCATTCCTATGGCTAGGCCTCAGGAGTAGGGCTGAAAGTAATTATTCAAGTATGTAGCTTTTAAGTTATCCATTAAATTACTGAGCCCTAGCATTTTTTAGTGCAGCAACTATGGTTATCTCTGAAAATAAGACAAAAAGGAGGCCTGAGTTTCACTTGTTAGCTGGAAATGTAAATATGACATTTTAATATGCAATAGTTCATATTTACCAAAGTTTAACATTTTATTTTCTAAGCCCTAAAACAATAGATGTAAAATATATATATGAAAATACAGTATATATTCACTTTAAGAAAAAAATGATTAAGCAATGTAATTTTAAATCAAACTTTTTCTTACAGGGTACACATGTAAACTTGTAAATATTAAACCCTGTGTAGAATCACCTCACCTTATTTTTATTTTTACTTCACCTTATTTAATTCTTAACAAGAAAAATGTAAGAATGTCACTCTTATAAACAGTCATTTTATCATCCAAGTGACCAAATGATTATTTTGATTAACAAGCAATTGCAAACAAATATCAGTGGATATTTGCATACCATTTGAAAAAGGGATGTCTACAAATATTTTTAAATTAAGCATCTAGCAAAATAACTTCTGGTCAGAAGTGGATGCCTCATAAGTGCATCAATCAGTGGCACTAATGACATCTTTCATGAAAGGAGAGAACAAACTAATACACCACTACTTGTATGCTGGTTGTGATAAAGGAGAAAGTATTTTTGTTGATGTATTATTGATGATCCTGTAACATTTTCTTTTTCCTTTTAAGGTTTCAAGGTGGGTTGGAGATTACAGTGCCAATCATGGTTTCCTTATTGGCTTTACTCCACCCTCAGCAAATTTTGTAGAAACTGACCCCCTCATTCTTGCAAAGCACAAGTCAGACAGCAAGAAATCCTATTTGGTCCTATTTAGTGATGATGGCAGGAGAGGAGCACCAAACACCTATACAGCTCCCATTATAAAATACACAGGTAAGATACAGTTTTAAGTTTATGAACATAAAGCCTTCATCTTTACAATTAATTCACATTGTATACTTTTAAACTATAGTCATTTTTTATTTTTTTTAATTTTAGATAAAGTAGGAAAGGGTTATATCAGCTGTCAGGTTTTTAAACGTTGTCTTTTTGGTGAGTGAATGTTAGCAGAGTCCAAAGATTGCATACTTGTGCACTCAAAAAGGGCTTATATTATAGAGGGAATACTGATTCACAATACACTGCACCCTGTGGTCAGTAAATGAAGGTTTAGGGATAACATGGAGAAACCCAGGGTGAACTAATAAAGGGGCCAAACGATTTATGTGTGTCGCAAAATCCAATCTATGATGATTTTCCGTTCACCCCAAATTAACCCAATCAAGGTCAAATACTAGTTTGGCCGAATCTGTTTATCATTAATCTGCTAGCTTTGTCCCAAGATTCACCCTCATTTTCTTTGCAGTTGGCACCAAGGGTATTGCTATTAAATAAACTTCACGGGGGTTACTCACTTAGCTGCCGAAGGCAGCCGAGTGAATAACCAAACCGAAGTGAAGGGAACCGAACGCCGTTTGGCTATTCACTTCAGCCCTGTATGTCTAAAAAACAGCCGTACATCGGCTGCCTTCAGCTCCCTTCACTTAACTTCGGTTCAGCCAAACAGTTCAGTTCAAGTGAAGAAATCGGCATTTGGCTCGGTTATTCTGTACACTGCCTCAGAGGTAGAAAGCAGAATTTAAAAAAATTTAAACAAAAGAAAGAAAGAAAAACGACGTGCGTTCCCCCAGCTGATCCATAACAGACCTAAAGTTGGAAGGAACCCCAAGTTAAAAAGTAAAAAAAAGTACTCCTACTCATTAACTTAAGGGTTAAAGTAAAATGTGAATAAACACACCACACTTTTAGAAACAATCCATGATTTAGAAAACATACAACAGTTTTTGACAAGCCCTATAATAAGAAAATAAAAATCCCAAAAATGTAAAAAATTGATGCACTGCTGTAACCAAATGGTCAATCACGACGTCCAGCGATGTCCACGCCTCTGACTCATCAAAAAAATCTGACACCCGCACCCGACAAACTGCTGCCGCAAACTGACCGGTTTGATCAAATGGGTCTTCTCAGGTCCCGGCCAAATGAAAAAAAATGGGCAGAGTCACCCGTCACCCATCACGGCTGACTCCGCCCATTTGTCATAATGCAATGACAGGCTACTGTCCTCATATTTAGAGAAATGTAACTGAAGGAACACAGTATTTAGGTCTACTACATTCACACGCTGAGTGCAGTCAGTTCAAATGTGGAATACAAAAAAATGACTAAATATATTTATATCTTTTTTTTCAGATGATTCTCTTCTACCATCTGAAGATCTTTCCCTAATACATCTAGCAACACATAAGTTTCCAATGGTGATAGACCATACTAGAAGTCGGAAAACTCGGGATGTATATCCTAGTAGATATCCTCCATGTGAACGCAAGCATCTCTATGTGGACTTTGAAGACATTGGTTGGGCTGGCTGGATCATCTCCCCAAAGGGATATAATGCTTACCATTGCAAGGGAACATGTCTATTCCCTATGGGACAAGGTTTGGGTGCCACAAATCATGCTACTGTACAGTCCATTGTCCATGCTCTCAAACTTAATCAAGACATTGGAACACCATGTTGTGTTCCAGATCGTCTTAATTCAATTAACTTACTTTACTTTGATGATGAAGAGAATGTTGTTCTGAAGCAGTATGATGACATGGTGGCAACAAGCTGTGGCTGCCACTGAACACCCTTCTTCCAGCATTATATTTTGTCATTACACCAGTTAATGACTATATACTATCTGTACTTTGCCATGTGACCCTACTATATTTCCCTAAGAAGGTACCGCTCCAGATTTATATTGTATTTTCTCAGCTTAACCCTCTGAAGAACCAAACTGTTCCAAACTCATAATACTCTCATACAAAACTTTCATATAACAGTCTTCGTCTAGAACACAGCTAACTAGAAAGATTTCAGAGACTTTTCTGTGGCACTCCATGCTCTTTACATCATCATATCCAGCACAAAGACAAAATATTTTTGGAGGCGGGCAAATGGAAGACTCTACATGTAATTCTAATATTTCCCTTTGACATTGGAAACAAACTATCTACATGTGGAAGTTTTTTTTAATCTTTCAAATACACACACAGAGGTTCTAATATCTTTAGAAGAATATACTTTATTATAAACCAATGCATCATGTCTATCCCTACTCTAACAATTGTGAGCCACTTGGAATAAGGCAAAAGTATACAAACCTGCCAATAGACCTTTTTTAGCTAAAATAGAACCGGTAGGTGAACTGTTGTTATTTGAATCAGTTAATGGCATCTTCTGTGTATGGGTATTTGACCACTGATCTATGTAGATCTGCGGTTCTTATGAACAAGAGTGTGCAAGAGCAATTTCTGCCTTGTAATACATTTATGGCAATCTTTATACAATCAATCATCTATAAAGCTCAGTACTCACTCCATGTTTGAACATAAGCTTCCAGAATTCTTTGATGTGAGTTTCTTCTTTACCATGTCCAGATTATCAGTACTAGCAACAGTTTATGACCAGATCAAAAGAAAAAAAGTGAAATGGTGACATCATAACATCTATTTCTATTCTGTTTTTGTTCTTCATATGTGAAATGTTTAAATATTTTATTTACATTTTTACTTTAGGTATACTTTCAGTGTGATGCTGCAGAATATGAAATATATTGCAAGAAATACTTATATTCTGATCTAATTGTATATATGTATTCTGTATATATTAATAGTAATGTTTATGTATTAAATATTTTATTCTCTCAATTTATAATGCAAAAATATGTATGCTTTTTCTAGGAAAGGATAACTGAAATGTAAATATCCAACAGCCTTTGTAACCACAATGGTAAAATACTTTTACCACAATGGTAAAATAGCCATTTCAACCTGACTTCTATAGATGCTAAACGTTAACTTGATTGGGTGTTAAAAGTGAACAAAGAACCACTTGAAGCGTAATCCTTACAGCGAATCAAACCAAATCAATTTTAGTCTTTTAGATGTTGTTAAATAAAAGTTTTACCCAGGAGTAGACACCAAATGATACTTGGCTTACCTTTGCTAGTGAACATGCTTCACTGAACATGTAAGGGAAAAGGGGGGGGGGGGGGGGGGGGGGAGAAAGTTAG